AGAAAACCGATTTCGTATAATCAAAGCCTGTGGCAGGGATTGCAAAGTATAAAAAATTTAGTTACTGACCCGTAAGAAAGCTGATTTCTCAATCTGGCGGTAGCGCGTAGTAAAAATTGCACAGGAAAAAAAATCAATTTATTGTGTCAGTCCAACAAAAGTCGACTTCTTATTTTAACACAAATTTTATCGGAGTTGGTGATAAGAATCGCTAAATAAGAGAAATCAATTATCGAGCCCTCTCTGAGAAAACCGATTTCTTATAATCGAAGCCTGTGACAGGAATCGCTAAAAAAAAAATCAGTTGTGCCAACCCAGTGGAAGCTGATTTCTCACTTTGACATGAGTTTAATCGAAGTCTGCGACAGAAATCGTCAAATAAAAGAAATCAATTATCGAGTCGCGTCTAAGAAAACCGATTTCTTAATTTGACATCGATTTAAACAGAACATGTGATAAGAATCACTGAACAAGAGAATCGGCTGTTGGTCGTTAAAATTGACTTCTTAACGACACGATCGGCACGTGTGCGACGGAAATCGCCCGACACGACCGTTATAATGTCCAGTTGTCAAACAACGGTGACAACGAGCATGCCGGGCTGTGCTCCGATCTGTCTAGAAATCTCGTGCTCTCCATCAATCTGCCGCCGTGACGAGCCGACGAGAGGCTACTAGTATCTCTCTCTCTCTCTCGACGCGGCTTTTTTCGAAAATTCAATCCCCGGAGGCCATCGAGGCGCGATTTCGACCTCAGTTGCGCGGGAGAATCGCGAAAGCGGATTAATTAAATCGGAGCTGAAAAAAAAATATCGGTCTCTCGTTCGCGCCCAAGTTTTCCCCGTTCGACCGAAGTTTATCTTCGGGCACCCCGCGGGACCGAATCTCCCGGATACGAGGCAGCCGCGGACTTGCAGCAATTCCTGAAGGTAGCGGCGGAGGATATCAGAGAGCAGTCGGTGAAAGGTCCTAATTGCAACGCGGGTCCGATCAAAGGGCTTCCAAAATGAAATAACCGGCATACGAGGAAATAATTACGCGAGCCATTAGGGG